ATGTGTTTAATTTATTTGTTTAATTTATCTTGCTTTTATTTGCTATTATATCGGTTTAAACAACTGTTGATTATGATTTGTACATTAGCATAAAATTAAATAAAAAATAACACTATCCATCTACAGTCTTGTTATTATATGATTTAAAAATATGTTTGTGTATTAATTGAGTCTTGTGTTATTCATATGTTTGTTGTTTATTAGGAGGTTCCCCGATAGGTCAGCACTTACCTCACTAAAATTTTGGGTTAGATTCCCCAAGGTGTACAGAGTGCAGATAGACAATTATATAGCTTTGCGCTAAACAAACAACATTTATGAAAGATACTTATAAAAATTAATTATTCTTGAAAATACGGTTACTGCAGCGACATCTAGTGGAAACGCCCACTTCTTTCAACATTTATTTTATAAACAAGTCAGCATGTTTGGTGCGGATGGAAATTCAGAAGTCCGAATAGAAGGACAGATAATCAAAGTTCCAAAACTTATAGGGAATAATGGAAAAGAGGAAACTTTTTCCTCAACTACCTTCTATTTCACTAAACCAAGGTAAGTTTCCAGTTTTGAAACATTATCTAAAATGTCTTTATATTCATTCAAGATTTCTCTCGAACTTGTTAACCGACGTAATTCTGCACTGTATATATTTTCAATTACATAACGACCTTTACGAAAGATACAGACATAGTCAAATGTTATCGTTTACATAAATTTTATTTTTTAACAACTCAACAAAGTACTAGAAACTGACATAATAAGTGTATGTGGTTATGAATAAATGCATATGTAATAATATGACATAATCACCTGAGTATTTGTTTTTATGAACTAATAATCTAAATGAGTAACGTTTGATTGAAGATGTCCTTAAATATTCGTAGAGTGACTCGTGATTTTAGTAAAGAAGTTTTTTTTTCAAATAACATGATAAAAACTTATCTGTTGGTGTGCAAACTTTGTACCATATGTGTATGTATGTACATCTACACATTCAGGAACTTAGACGTACATGTATATTTATCATAGTTGGGATCCAGATAGCAGCGCCACCTCATGTAACTTGTGTGAAACTCGATTCACTCAGCTAAAACGAAAACATCACTGTCGTAATTGTGGGAAGATCTTCTGTGTAAAATGTTGTAAGGATAAGGTAATATCACTTCATTTGTTAGCATCAGACTCTTAAAAAGTTTCTTGTTTTAGTTTGATAAACTTTGAGTTCTCAGAAACTAAAACACGAGAACAAGTATATTATATAAGAAGTAAAAACTTATTTGTGAAAAATCAGCTGTAATGAAAATCGTTCAAATCATTATTATTACTTTTTCTCTACCAAAACTTCCAATGTCTTTTATTTTCTTTCAAACAGGTACCAATGTGATTTGGTCTTACGTTAATATTTAGTGCAGTCATATCGTGTTTACTTTGTGCTTAGCATAACTACTAATATTTACGGAGCCAAAGCGACGTCCTATAAAAGCTAACATTTAAGTTCATTCTATGATCAACAGTGGTATACAATTTCTCTTCCAAAAAGTCCATTACCAAAACAACATAGATAGGTCCCATTTTTGTACCAGTGGCAGTTACTCTTATCTCATAGTAGAAATCATTATCATAGATAAAATAATTATTAACCAAATACTAATTTTACAGCTTCAATTAAAAATCTCTTAGTAATTCTGGAATACAAAAGTTCTGGATAACGTTCACAAAAATAATTTACAGCTGTAATACCAAGTTCTTGTTCAGTATTAGGGTAAAAAGATTCTATATCTAGTGTAATTAAATTGTTATTATGACCAAGTTCATCAGGTCATTTAAATATAAAGTTTGTTTGTTGCTAAGTGCAAAACTAACAATAAGCTATCTGTACTGTGCTCACCACGTGTATTGAAACCATAGTTTTAGCATTATAACTTTTTAGACTTGCCTCTAAGCCACTGGGATGTTAGATATGAGGTCTAAATCACCTCTCGCGTAACTTTTGATTTTAACAAGAGATGGTTTTAAAAGTTCCTCCATAAAATAATTAACACAATTAGTAGAACACTTATATCCTGCAACAATAAGTCTATAAGGGCAACAAGAAAGTTGAGCAAAATTTAATAAAATCTTGGTTTTATCTATTTTGATAAAACATAAAATAGACTTGTAATTCAAATAAATGAACAAAAGAATGTATTATCAATTTAGTAAGCTATTTATTGTATTTATGAACAAAAGGTTTAATGTTTTGTAATACATCTTCATGGTAATCATTGATCTCAAATTTCATATAAGTTGCATTGTCTTTTAAATGTTCCATAACCATTGAATATTAAAATTATTTTCTTCCATTCATCGGCTTTTAAAAAATTATATCATTGCAACTCAAATTATTACAATGCTTATATTGAGTTGAAATCAAATGTAAGTTTTTATCTGATTACATAATGTATCCAGTTTAATACAGATTGGTGTAAAACTTGGTTTACTTCTTAAAGTGATATCATCATGGTATGAGTTTGATTTTGTCGTGTGTGTAATAGCTATTTGAATCTTATTCATCTAATAAAATCATTTATATCTTGTTCTACTTGTAAATGATTAGGCTTACTGAGGGAACAATAAGGTAAACCTTTTCTTAGTAACAATATTTCATTAGTAGTAAAAGTATAATTAGAGATGCTTATCACATTAAGATTATGAATTTGGTGAGCCCTACCGCTACTGACGCAGTCTTTATTATCTAAGGTTTGGATTGATCATTTCTGTAATGATCTCACACGTATTTTGAATTAATAGATTAACCCAGCTCTTTTGTATACATACCATTCCTGGATTTAATTCTCTGAAAAATGGTTATTATAAAATTGTTGCTAATATACGTTTTTGGACTTTTTTCATATGATTTACTCGATGGTACGTGTAGTTTCTTACATTTTCTACTGGGTAATACCTGGTTGATCCTCTTCTATATTCTTTAAAAGGGTGGAAAAATATATATAGGAAAAATAAATATAATTTTAAGTGATTGTGGTTTTAATTTTCGTAAACGTTATAGCTATGAGGGATATTGTTATACTGAAAGTTTATAGATGCTGTTTCCATTCCATGGACATTTAATAACTTAACAAATAAATAGGAAAAAAATATTAACATTTTAATGGAAAATAGGGGTTGTTTGTTATTCGTAGAATTATGATAAGAAGTATCCAAAAGAAATTAATGCTGCAATAAAAAAGTACACAAAGAAGTAAAGTGATACTAGTTGGATGTATACTTTATAATGATTCTCAATCACTACTTTGGTTGGAAAATTTAGACTGCTTCACTTAGCTATGAAAATCAGAATGCCAATCAAAGTAGAGATTGAAAATATTTTTAAACTCTTTCCAACTAGTATCACTTTACTTGTTTCTCTACCTTTTATTGCATCATTAATTTTGTTTTGGATACTTCTAATAGCAATTCTACCCATAACCAACGATCCCTACTTTCTCAAATTTATAAAATGTAATCCGTACTTTAGCCTATAGATAAGTGAAAAAGGCTGCCAAAGTATAGATTAAATGTTATAAATTTATGATTGTGGTTCTAAATCTTGTTTCGTTACGTTTTGTAGCAGGATCCCTACTTCATTTTCAAATTCATAATTTTTAATACTTTTGTTTGTTTACATTTTATGTTATATCTGTATAAAGTATATATTTTACCTTCAGAAACTGTCGCGTGTCTAGCCAATGATATGTAGCGTCATCTGTTGGGTTTAAAAGATATTGAATTACGTGCATGATATGTTTACCATTTATAAAAAAAAATTGTATATATTTATCAGATTATCAAAAACGAGTCCACATATACCATTCAAGTAAGCTGGAGAAATCGTGTAGCGATAGTCCGAACCGTCTAGCACAAACCTACACAATAGGTTATCTGTGCTTTGCCCACCATGGGCATCGAAACCAGGTTTTGAGCATTGTAAGTCTGCAGACATACCACTGGGGGCTCTTTCTCTAAGAAAATTCACGTCGTGATGTAACTTTTGTGTATACTTTCTAGGTCATGGGGCTCCGTGTCATGATTGGGGAACAATTATATGTCCAAAATATAATATATACTTGTGTGTGAACTTCTCAAACCTATTTGATATATAAATATTCAGAACAACCCAGTTTATTTTCATTTTTGCTTACATGTTGATATTAAATAATGCAAGACCTTGATTATCTCCTGTACATTTATATATATCTACATATAAAGAACAAAAATATGTGTGTCTGTCTGTTAGTTTGTTGTCTAATTGCATCCTGATCGCTGGGCCAGTCTCAAGCAAACTTTGTGGGATGATACTTTGAAACAAGGGCCATGTTCACCCGATTATTTTTGTCGTTGATCATTCATTATCTTTGACGTAAGTTAACATTAACTACATTCATAGATGCGCCACGTCCTTACACATACAAACCTATCACACTTTCTATAACAACATACATACGGTGTGGGGGAGGGCATACTAACGTCATATATATTTCAGACAGTGCGCTAGCACTCTCTATGGATGAATGTAATGAAAAATATAGTGCCACTATTGCAATAATACATAAACTCAGATGACGTTTCTACTCCAACAGCCACCTTAGGGCTGACATGAAGTGCTGTTTCGTGAGTTATACTCACTTCCTACTTTGACCCGGGACCTTACAACTTTGGCTCGTAAGACACTTCTGCGACCAATGACTGTCAATTAATTAATAACGTGAAACAGCGTGGAAAGACATTAACAGCTAGGTGTTGAAAGTGGGCAACAGAAAGCACCTATACCGCCACTATTTTGGCCGCTACCTCATCCTACAAAGCCACCCTAACCATCACATAGTGAATACCAGTCTTAAGTATATACATATTGAGTTCTTAAACCTTATATAAAACTTTGGGTGAGGTAATAATGAATACTGTATGGTCGGGGTGGGCGTCCTGGGAAACGAGTAAAGTCGTCCCTGGCGCTCCATGAAATGCTCCCAAAAGACCTGCTTGTTAAGCCTCTACTGAGGAAGTCCTATTCACTGCCTTCTCGTGGCGGAGGTGTTTTTACTGAAGTGAAAGGGCGTAAGCGGGTGACCCGTGCCTATAACGGGTTCGGTGGTTCATTGATCACCTAGGGGAGTTGGCTAAACCCTGATTTCAAACCAACAACGGCGGAACAGATCCGGCGGATTGAGCGGATGAGGTCAAACGACCCAACGGTCATGATGGCGGTACTAACTGCTGCATCTGGGCAGATGGGGCTCAACAGCCTT